TAAATTTAATCGAGTTTTGAATGTGAGATTTTCCATTAATTGATACTACTAGAGTTGTGATCCAGTGTTACACATGAGGTGTGATTTATGCATGTGATTGATCGTGTTAATATATTATGAGCATTGGTTTGTTAAGAAAAACAGATTGCTTATTGTATGATTTATTTTGAGGTATGATAAATTAAATCATCATATTTGAAAAATCATAGATGATTAAATAACAGAGTATATATGTTGCAAATTATACTTATGGGTTTAGTGAATTTGTACATGGGTTTGTTTCATTCTTGTTCTACTATTGAACCAGGATAGTTGTAGTACTCATTTAATTGAAGTATTATTGATGTAAAAATAGGACTTATGGATATTATATTATGAAATTCTAATTAATTAGAGTGGCTGGCAATATATATGAAAATTCCAATTTAATTAGTATGGGAAGATATGATATTGTGAGATTCTAATTTAATTAGAATTATTATTAATAAGATATTAGGATTTTTTTTTGTGTTTGAAATATCAAAAACTATAGGGCTGTTCAGCAAGTTATTTTGCTTTGTTCTAAAAATATATGTCTATTGTTAAGGAGGTTTCACTTAATTAATCATGAGGAGTTTCAACAATTGTGTTGGAATTGCTCTTAATAATAGTATTATTGGACACAATTCAAAACATATTTTCTAAGGAGTTTTCTGACAAATTTAGTGTGTGTTTGGATTAAAAAATTTAAAACTGAAGTCATGATTGAACTAAGGTTGCCATGAGGTTAGAAGAAAAGTTAGTTAATGAAACATGATTAATATTTGGATACCTTTTTTATAAGTCAGAGATAAATTAAATTTTATTTGAATAATTTGATTCAAAAGCCAGTTAAGGCTTTTAATGACAAAAATATGCATAAATTTTTTAGTATATATTTTTTGACTAATTGATAAGTAAAAAAAAATACTAAACTTAAAGTGACAATTAATAAGTAAGAAATCTTAAATATTCAATTCTGAAAAGCTACAGATTACAAAATATTTAATTGATATGATTTATAAGTTTAAATATTCACTTATGAAAAGCTATAGATTACAAAATATTCAATTGATATGATCTATAAGTTGATCTCTAATAATATTCTGAACATAATACATCTGTCATGATGATTTCAGTGAAGTTTGCCTTTTAAAAATTGAGAAAGAATATATAATACTTTATAAAAAATAATAAAATGATGAAAAATACTAAAAGGGTAAACTTCACTGAATCATTTTATTAATTTGTATAAAATATTAGCTATTTTCTTTGTTTAAAAAAGCTAAATTGAAATTCACAGATCTCAATTTAAAGGATTTAAATCCAAAAATATAAACATTAAAATATTGTAAGACTAATAGAATTAAAATAATGTGAATTGCTGTATTTTTATTATTAAAAAAAATGTTATAAGCGACGTGAGCATATAAGAATTTCTCTCATCCTTCTCCTTTGTCCCCACTAATTTCTCTCTCTTCATCTTTTGTAATTATTATTATTATTATTATTATTATTATTATTTGATGTTGTCGTCTTGCTTGTCTTTGGCCAAAAATACAAAGAAAAGACATCTGAATGCAAAACAATGGCTCACTAGTACCAAGGCTGAATGCAGAATCCAGGAAAGATAACTTCAGGAAAAAAGCTCATTTAAACCATAACTTCAGTTGAAATTTTTTTCCATCCAAACAAGACGTTTTGCGATTTTTACATCCTAATAACCTCGGCTTGGGCCATGGCCTACAACATGTAATTGCTTCGCGTTCGTCCATGGCTGGCATTCTATCGTCTCTTGGTTTAGGAGGTCGCCGGTTTTCTTCCGTCCATTTCGCAGTATACGATGGTGGAGCCGCTGGAGATGACCATCGAGCATGCCCCACCCAAATACATGCTATCTGCCTATATTAAATTTTGCAACAATATTATGTGTTCTAAGGACCAAATTATGAAAAAAAACATTTATTTAAATAAATAATTAAAGATCAAATTGTAAATCACACAGAGCATATCAGTTTGGTCAAAAGGTTCTAAATTTAGAATTTTATAATTTATCTATTTATTTTAAATTTTTAGATTTTAATATTTTATAATTTAACAATTTATTTTATATTTTATAATTCACAAACAATAGTTAATTATATATGCGCCTTTTCTTTTACATTGTGTGTGTATATATATCATAAAATTTATATACATATCAACTAAATTTTAAATCAAATCATTCAAATAAATTTTAATTTATTTAACTGATATTTTAAAAAATTATTCAAATAAAGTCATGATAAAGAGACGTTTGTTTTTTCTAACCTCAAGTTTGCTAACTGCAATTGCTTTCAACCTTGGTTGCAAATTTCTTAATCCAAACACAACCAACCTAATTGACTGCACTTTAGCCTTGGAATGCACTTTTGGTTAAATAGATTTATTAACTTTCTAGGGTGTTTCCACCAAAAGTTAGTTCAATTAATTAGAATTTAACCTATGATCCATAGGTCATGAGAAAAAAATTCTACTACTAATGTGAGAACTTTATCAACCTAAAAGCATGTCTTGATCTTGGTGAACTTAAGACCCAATTAATATGAACTTTTTTCACCAGGAAAACTCTCTCTTGGGTGTTGATTTTTGTTATAACATTGAAAACATATAATTAAAACTACAAAAAGTTTAAAAAAAAGAGCAAAAATTGTACAGTGTTCTAAATGATATGAATAATAAGAATTTAATTATATTATAACTTGAAAGTATTCTAATGTGAAAAATAAATAAGAATTAATAACAATTAATATTCTAACTTGAAAAATTTCGCGTGTTCCTAACTTTGACATAGACTCTTGCAATGACTTTTAGAAAACACCTGTCAATTCATCTCTCTCTCTCTCTCTCTCTCTCTCTCTCTCTCTCTCTCTCTCTCATCTCTCTCTCTCTCCTCTCTCTCTCTCTCTCTCTCTCTCTCTCTCTCTCTCTGTTCCTTGATAGATGGTCCTACGTAATAAAATTTTTTATTATTCATGAAATGAAGTTTGACTTCCGCAAATTAAGTGGAGGTCTAATGTCATGAATATTGAAGAAGACATAAATAGTTTGTATCAGAGAACTTGATTATCTGATTGCACAAGGAAGCATCCTTCATAATCTTCCATTATGAGGATCCTTTCAATTTTATCTCTTCACTCCATACTATTTTGCTACATGCGTCTTCGCAGCCACTTGTTGGCGGTGTCCGGTTTTTGTATTGAAGATCAACAATCACTATTGCTGCAACTGAAGAACAATGAATTCAAGTTCGATGCTTCATGGTCTACTAAACTAGTAAGCTGGAATCAAAGCTTTATTTTTTATTACTGTGATTGGAGCGGTGTAACTTGTGATAAGGAGGGGCGCGTTGTTGGTCTGGACTTGAGTTGGGAATTCATAGATGGAGAATTGCATAATTCAAGTGCTCTTTTCTGTTTCCAGCATCTTCAAAACTTGGATTTGAGTCATAATCATTTCAATTCTTCAATTCCGCCTACAATTGGAAATTTGAAGAACTTGGTCTCTTTGAATTTGTCTGATAATTTTTTTGCAGGGCAAATACCAATGGAGATTTCCCAGTTGAAAAATTTGGTTAGTCTTGATTTACCTTCTTCTTCATCCTTGAAACTTGAAATTCCAAATTTGCAACAACTAGTCCAAAACCTAACAAAAATCAGGTATTTGTACCTAGATTATGTAAAAATATCAGCTCAAGGAAAAGATTGGAGCAATGCTTTGTTAGCAATTCCTAGTCTTGAAGAAGTGAGCATGATGGGGTGCAATCTCTTCGGACCCATTGATTCTTCATTGGAGAGACTTGAGAATCTCTCAAAACTTTATCTTGATAGTAATGATCTATCATCCATAGTGCCCGAAAGCTTTGCCAATTTAAAGAAATTGACTATCCTGAGTCTTCAAGATTGCAACTTGAGGGGAGATTTTCCGCATAAGATATTCCAAATAGAAACACTGTCCTTTGTAAGCATACTTCACAATGACAATCTCCACGGTTCCTTGCCATACTTCCCACTAAATGGATCTCTTGAGACTTTAATAGTAAGAAAAACAAACTTCACTGGTCCAATCCCTTCTTCTCTATTTGCACTCCCATCTATAGCATACGTTGATCTTTCATTCAACCATTTTGATGGTGAAATAAAGCCTGATATGTTTCAAAGTCATCAATATTTAGATATATTAGATCTTTCTTACAACAACTTATCCATGGTTATTGATGCTAACCTCTCTTCATTTCCAAACATATTTCATCTTGGATTAGCTTCTTGTAACTTGACTGAATTCCCAGCGTTCTTAAGAAACCATTCTACGATGGTTTGTTCTCTTGACCTCTCAAACAACCATATTCAAGGATTGATACCTCATTGGATTTGGAAACTTCAAGGATTACAGTGGTTAAATCTTTCTATCAATTATTTGACAGGTTTTGAATCTATGAAAAATCTCACAAATAATTTCTATGTTCTTGATCTTCATTCCAATGAACTCCAAGGACGAATTCCAGTGTTCTCTTCTGTGGCTTATTTGGACTGCTCAAGTAATAACTTCAACTCTATTATTCCACACAATATTGGAACCCATTTATCTTCCACTTTTTTCCTCTCTCTTTCTGAAAACAAATTTCATGGACACATTCCTCGTTCCTTGTGCGAAGCTTCTCTTCTAAATGAGCTCGATCTTTCCAATAATAGCTTCAAAGGGACAATTCCAGCTTGTTTGATAGAGAGTGAGATGCTTTGGGTATTAAGTCTTGGAAACAACAAGCTCACTGGTAAAATCCCTAATTCATTTCCAGAATCATGTTGGTTAAAGGCTTTAGATATCCATGAAAATCAATTGAGTGGGCTAATTCCCGAGTCTCTTGCTAGATGCAAGTACTTAGAGATGCTAAATCTTGGGAATAATCATATCGAGGGACACTTTCCATGCTTGTTGAAGAAAATATCCACATTGCGGGTGATGGTATTGCGAGGGAACAGATTAGAGGGCCCCATTGAATGTTTTGACATCAATGGAACTTGGCCAGTCCTTCAAATTATTGATTTGTCTTTTAATAACTTCAGTGGTTTTCTTCCAACAAGAACCTTCACAACATGGGAAGCAATGAGTAAAGGTTTTTGGGACTCCAATTATGACCTAATTATTTATAATGGAACCGGTTACTACTATGACACGGTGAAAATTATGAGTAAAGGCAAATATATGGAGTTGGAAAAAATACTAAACTTATTTACTTTGATTGACTTCTCATCTAACCGTTTTGAAGGGCCTATACCTAAAGAGCTGATGAAGTTTGAAGTTCTTCATGTTCTCAATTTATCAAATAATGGTTTCTCAGGCAAAATCCCATCTTCAATTGGAAATATGAAGCAGCTTGAATCCTTGGATCTTTCAAGCAATTCTTTGACTGGAGAGATTCCAATAGAGCTTGCAAGTTTGTCATTCCTTTCATTTTTGAACCTTTCATTTAATCATTTGATGGGAATGATCCCTACAAGCACACAACTTCAATCATTTGATGTCTCTTCCTTCCAAGGCAATGATGGGCTCTATGGACCTCCTTTGACCAAAACTCCAAGTTATGGAAAGCCTGGACCGATGCCACTTCTAGCATCTAGAAAGGATCATGGAATTGATTTCAAGTTTATCACGGGCATGGAATTTGGATTGATTTTTGGCTTAGCCATTATTGTTGGGCCTCTTTTCTTTTGGAAGCAATGGAAGGTACGTTACTGGAGGTGGGTGGACAATGTCCTTTGTAGCATCTTTCCACAACTTTATCTTGATTATCAAAGGCATGAGGGAAAATGGCACGTAGTTCTGCGTTGGAGTCGTTAAGCATCACTCTTTGTTCAACAAACATGATTTGAGTGTTGATTTATAAGGTAAACGAAATATATGACCATATTCAGCAAAATTTATTATATTGTTTGAAATATAGATGCATGTGCATTTGGTTTTAGTGTTAAATGAAAATTGGCCTCTAAATTACAGGTCCAAGAGTGTTTAAAACCTTAGACTTATTTTTAGTGCAATGTTTTTATTCAATATTTCAAAACAAAATATTGCACCTACCTTTATCATGCATTCTTGCTACGTTCCTCATGACTGGTTCTTCGTGATGCGGGTATGTGGTGGTAAATAAGTCCCTTATTTGAAAATTATACATAATTTTTCCTTAAATTCTATGTACCATTTTTAAGATCTGCACTAGTTGATTAAAAAAATGATTTTTTATTGTTAAAAGAATGAATCATATATAGTTGTAAAGATTTGATAATAAAATATATTGTAATAATTTTTTAATGTTGCTTTTGTCCATTCTACTTCTTATCTCTATTAATAATTTGCTTTAATTTTATTACTTATCTAATTGTGTTATTATTGTAAATTTTAGGTGAAGAGGATGATCAGGAGTCGCATATTCAAATATGATTCAGTTTGGCTATGATTGTTGAATAAAGATATGAATTAGATAATTCATTCATACAATTGTACAATGATTTTGAATTTGATAGAGCTTACATTTAATGTTTGTGTGATGGATTAATGGTTTTTTATTATAATATGTACTTGAACTCGCTACAAAAAATTTGACTTAGTCAACAATGACTTGTTATGAGAGCTCTTGTCACTAATTTTATTTGCAATGACAATAAAAGTTGCTATTAAAAATATTCAATCAGCAGCAGCAAATGTCATCACAGAAAGAAAAATTTGTCACTATCGAAAGTTGATAATCGACAACGACAAAATTTGTCACATAAATTTAAACCACACATCAATGGCCGCTGAAAAGTAATGCTAGTTTTAACCATATGGTGTCATGTCACCTTCCATATGTCACCCTCCACATCATGCCATGTGTCATTATACTATCAATTTATATTTTCATTTCACAAATTGTCACTTTCAAGGTTTGAACTTATGACCTCCTTCTTTTATATCCCACCATTTTGCCATTGAGTTAAGATGAACCTACATTCTATTATTACATAATTAAATATATATTATTAAACTAAATAAGCACACATATATCTTAAATATTATAAAATATCATTACTTTCATTAAATACTTCAATCTAATTGTTTTAATTTATTAAAATAGCAAATTATATTATTTATTTTGTCTAAAGTAAACTATAAATATAATTGATATAATATCATTTATATTATGTATTTTAATTTTTTTTACTTCTCCAGGTCATTGTATTATTTATTTTAATATTTATATTTATAATCATAATATAAAAATATCTAAGAATAAATAATAAAAATATAGATTATTATACATTAGATCATAATTCTTCATTTTTCTAGCTAGTTTTATTTAAAATTTTATATTTACTTTTAATTAATAATAACTCTTAAGTAATGTAATTGGTTTGTTTTAACATTACATTTTACTTTTTTAATTTTTTTCATTTTTAAATTATAATTTTATAAGAAAATTATACACTATATTATCTAATTTTTTTATCCTTATGTCACAAGACAGCATCAAACAAAAAAAAAATTATATAGCATTACATACATAAATATATTTCATATATTGCAAAAGTTAAAAGTAGAATTTTAGAATACTTTATTTATTTTATTTTCATCTTCCTCTTCCTTATCATTAGCCATTGAATTGGGAGCATTTAAATCGGCATCAAACTTTAAAGTTACTAGTATTAAATGTAGAATTTGAATTAAAAAATTAGATTAGATAAAATATAATTCTATAAATAAATAAATTCAACTATCACATGTCTAATTATTATAAACAAGTAGTGTTATTATTTAAAATACTAATTTAATTATAAAATATTTGAAAATAGAGAGACTCATTACTACGTTATATGCATTCCAAATTTAAATATCAAATATTTGAATGAATTTATCACTTCACATAGGGGTGTGTTGGTCAATTTAGTTAGATTCAAAGTTAATTAACCAAAACAAATGAACCAAACTGGCATAAATAGTTAGACAGAATCAATGAACCAAACATTACTTAATAACAAAAATTGACATAAAATAATACTCTAGTTTGGCTTACTTCTTTAGACTAGCTTATTAGCAATTAAATAATACCTTAATCTCATAAAATAATTTCATTATTTTAAAGTTACAATTTAACCATAAAATATATTAAATGAAAACTTGATAAATGATAATTTTATATATTTTTATCCTTTTAATTTAAACTTTTAAATATTTATTTGAAGCTAATAGAGTTTAATTAGATATTATTTAATTTTATTAGCCAATATTCAGTTTTGGGATTTTAACTAATTAAATCTTTGATTTTAAAATATAAACAATATCTTTAATATTTTTTGCACAGGTGCTATTTAATTTTATTTTATTTGTGCAGATCTTCTAAATTCAATTTGAAAGATATTGATAAAGAACATATTGGATAAGAAGAATATGGACATGCTTGGAGATCAAATCAAGAATTAAATTTTAGAAATTTCGTTTATATTTATCTTGGATATTTTAGTGTAGTTTTCATTTAGGGTTATTTAAGGTAGTTTTATTTTTTTATTAAATTATTAAGTTTCAAGTTGGAAGAGGCGTACGAACACACACATATATATGAGGAATGAGAAGCACGATCGGAGAAAAGACGAAAGAGGAGGATCACGGAAGAAAAGAGGGAAAAACAGCGTAGCGACCACAATTTTAACGAAAAAAAAAGGGAAAAAGAATAGCGATCGCCGTTCACCTTTTCTTCTTCCAATTTTTTGGATGATGGCTTCTCAATTTCTCATTTTATATTGTTTGATTTTTAATTTTATGGAGAGCTAAATTTTTGGTGTGATCAATCATAAACCATGATCTTAAATTTTAATTAGAGTCTTTGATATTTAAGGAAGAATTTATTTTAGCTTTATTCTAATTTTCTCTTCGTCTCGCTACCTCTGAATTTTATGCTTTAATTGCTATTGCTGATTAGAGTAACTTTATTGCATAATTTTTGGGTTATAAATTTTATCTGAGGTTTTGCTTGCTATAATCGATTGATATAGTAACTTAAGAGTAATTTGGCCTAACTTTGGGTTGTGATTGATTACGCTGCTTGTTCTTGATAATTTTCTTAGTTGAAATTTCTCTGTTTATTTATTTCTAATTTATTTTTAATCTCATAAAAAAACCCCCCATTATTTACCTTTTCATAATCATAATTTAAATAGTTACTCTATTAACTCTTAGAGAGACGACTTAGATTGTGCTTTACTACAAAATCTAGTTTTTATTAATTTTATGCTATTCGATAGTAGTGTCAAAACTCATTACGTTATTTTATATATTCATTATAAAATTACAATAATACAACAAGATTAATGTCTTAAAATGTTAAATATTAGATTAAACAAAAAATAAAAAATTATAATGATCATATCTAGTTAGTATTAATTGTTACGAAAGTCAAACTTTCAGTGGTAACTTTAAAAGTTGTCATTGATTGTAAATTTTTAGTGACGACATATATATTGCTGTTAAAATTTAGATTTTTGATGGCGACATATACTTGTCGCAGTTAAAAGTTTGACAATCAATGGTGACTTTTTGGAGTCACAGTAAAAAGTGAGACTTTCATAGGCGATTTTTTTTGTTGCTGTAGATTGTTTATTTTCAAAAAGTGACTGCTAAAAGTCATTTTTTTAGTGACTATTACTATATATGGTTTTATTAATGTTTTTAAATATTTTATCAATTGATGCTTTTATGTTTTTACTTTGTATCGGAATATTTTTGTTAATGACTATGTATACACTATAGACTCTTTCATAAATCTCATAAATATATCGCATAGCTTAAAAAGTATAGAAGATTTTTCCCCTTTCCTTCAAGTTGAAAATCAATGGTTCGCTTTGAATTTATTTATCTTTTGTTATAAATATTAAATACTATGATATCAAATATTGAAAGTGGTAAATGAGAAATGCTAGTCTCAATAAGGAACTTCAAACAAAAAATTACTAAGAAGAAAATTGCTGTATCATTCTATTTTTTAAATCTAGATCCAAAACATGTTCGAACTTGATCTAAAACATGGTTCTTTTTTATAAAATATACTTTTTGCAACAGCGAAAATAAAATCTTAGAATAAGGGTCTAGTCTTCATTTGTATTCCGTTTTCTTGCCCATTTGCCTCTTGCACTAAACTTAATGATCTTGTAAAACGTATATATTTTAAGTGTTTTGTTATTATAAAAAAAATGGAGATTCCAACCTTGGCCTGGACCAAATTTTTATTTTCCCAATTGATGTCTTTCATTGGAATTTTCACTTTTACTTTTTTGATGAAAAAAATCCTATAAATTTAAAATTTTGATCATTATATATATATATATATATATATATTTGTCAAGTTAAACACTGAAAACAACTAAATGCAATATAATTTTGAATCCCAGGTTTGAGAAGGATAATGATATTATTTTTGTTCATTCTCAACATTAAATTATAAAACATAGTTTTGACATAAAAGCTATAAAAAAAATGTGAAAGAGTCTAAGTTATTGAACTAATATTTCCCTTAGAATTTACCAAGGGCATTTTGTGTGTGCACATCCACTCATATCTACGTAATCTACATTAAAATTAAAATTGCATAAAAATAACATTGCCGAAATTTTGTGTGGTGCTATAATTATTAGATATAGAAAATGAGAATTAATAATATATGAATTACCACCTCTTTTTACATAAATTTCTACACAAAATATCACAATAACTTTGAGCTAGTAAAGACTTGTCCAATTTCGATAGGTAAACAACTCTTAAAATATTATCTTCTCATATTTTATGTGGTTCAAAATAAATATGGACAGCAAGATTTAATCTAACTTACATTTCTTGACTTTTA